ACAATTTATTTCCATTGTAACCCTACTTTTTGAATAAAAACATATAACTGTTTTTTTTACATTTTTATGTTATACTCTTACTACATGAAAAGTTGTTCGAAATAAGAGGTGTCAAGAATATTTTATTTTATCAAATAATCAATGAAAACATCGAAATAAATAAAAGTTCCCGCGACTATTTAACCATAATTTTTTAAATAGTTTCCTATTTTTTCTTGTAGATTAATATACAAAAAATGGTATTATTTATATTAAAAAGTTGAAGAAAAAAATAATGAATATGAATCATAAAAATAGTGAGATGACAAAATGAAATAATTTATAAACTATATTTATGAACATAAAAGTTGTAATTAAAAAAACTATAATAATAATAATAATATATTTTTTAGAGTGATTTGTCAGAAAGTAGAAACTAGAAATTTGAAGGAACTGGAAAAAACTGGAAGAAACTGGAAAAAACTGGAAGAAACTGGAAGAACTGGAAGAAACTGGAAGAAACTGAAAAAACTGGAAGTTAAGAGTTCAAGTCCAAAAGAACAGGCACTTACTCCGTATTAAATTATCTATTTTTATTAAGTTAAATTCTTAGATGAACCTAAAATTTACTTAAAAAGTTATTGACTTTTTAATAGCTACGTAAGCACTCTACCACAAACCTTTAAATTCTTTAATTCATTTTTTATCGATTTGGTTATTAGAGCAATGGAAATATTTTTAACGTTGAGGGGAGGGAGCAATGTGAATTTTCCAATTGTATGGAAATAATTTGTCGATGTTCGATACGCAAACCACACTGAATCTCGAGGACTCGAGTCAGTTCCGAAGACTCAGCCGGAACCAAGTGTACCAAAAAAAAGTGCACGCCGGAAGAGTCATAAATCGAAGGGCGACAAGCCGATAACCGAGGCAGCAAGGTACATTCAAAAACGGACGCTGGAGGAAGAATCGTTGTTGGCGTTGCAATATCATATTGTTGGTAAATTTTATATGTTTTTTAAATATATATTGTGTGTGTTTATATATATATATATATATATATATATATATATATATATATATATATATATATATATATATATATATATATATACTAGTATATCTACCCGTGCAATGCACGGGTTCGAACGAATATCTTGTCAATTCTGAATTTATTCATCTGACTATGAATATATATGTGTTAGTGTTATTTAGGTAAATTCATCTGACTATGAATATATATATGGAGTATTAATTATTTCAGTTAAACACAACTTAGTTGCCATTTTGATAAATGAATTACGTGTTAGATATAAGTAAATTTTCCAATTTAAAATTTATATTTTAACTTTGAATTATTTACATTGATTATTCTGTACCAATGCCTAAATATTTTTCCTTCGCATGCATATCATTTTATTTTAAAATATGTATGCACATTTTTTTATATTCACCAATTTCATATCAAATTTATTGCAAAGTTTTGAATTTTTTAAAATTTTTTTAAATATGAATATATTTTTACTCAACTTTGTTAATATTCGTCCATTCAATTGTTTAAAATATTTAATATGTATAAACTATTTTTTTCATAAAAAATATAGAAAAATGAAATTAAAGAGTAATGGTTAGACACCATTTTATTCCTATTGATGCAAATATAAATATGATAAAAAATAATCAGTGAGCTATATGTATACCTGGATAAATCAATAATTATACATTTTAATTATCCATGATTTATATGAAACCTATGAAAAACATTTAATTTTTTTACGAATGCAGATTATAATTGATAAAATAACATGATTAGAAAGTACACATATTTTTATTTTTTCTTGGGGTGTTCATTTTCACATTGAGAATTTATTAAATCCTTCTAAAATTGACATCTAATTTTAAATTTTGTATTAAACTTTATTTATTTAGCATAAATTAATATATCTATACTAACGATTTAGAGATGAAGATAATAAAATTTTTCAATGCTCATTAAAAAGCAATAAATTTTAAATACAAAAATTCCGGTCACTAAAATATTCCCTTTGATTTTGTTATATTAAAAAATTCAAAAATGTTATGTATCAAATTACCTTATAACAATAAAACAAAATTAAATATATTAAGATAAAACAATATTTAAAGTACATACATTTTCTATCTTTTTTTGTTGAAATTTTCCTTTTCTCTTTCTCTTGCATCTCTGATTGCAAAAGAAATGGTGCATTCATGTTCTAATTGCAAAGGAATGGTGCATTCATCCGAGATGAGGAAAGGTCAAGGTTTTTTACGGGTAAGGAAAGCTTACTTTATGGATCGTGTGATTTTTTTTCATTTATTTCTCTTGCCACCTCAATTTGCCACATGTCACTCTTCAACTTTGCCAAATGTCACATCTCAGCTTTACCAAATGCCGCGTTCCTGCAGCTCCGACTCTGCTTTATATATATAAAGAATTCCTTATGTTTTATTTAAGTAAAGTGAATATTCCAAAAAAAAGTAAATATAGCCAATTGGGATGACTAATTAAAGAGTCATTAATGTTGCACTTTAAAAAGTCAATATTGTTTGTTAATTAAAGTAATTTTGAGAGAAAAAAAGGAAATTGAATTTGTTGAGAATTGCCGTTCATAAGGAAAGCACAAAAAAACGTCTTTAATATTGGTAAGCTTATATTTAGAGAAATTAAATTTAAAAAATAGGTAGAATATTGAGAAAAAACGCTCTGGACAATATTGTTTGTTAATTAAAGCAATTTTGAGGAAAAAAGGAATTGAATTTCCGTTCATGAGGAAAGCACCATAAAAAAATCATCTTTAATATTTTAAAGCTTATATTTATAGAAATTAAATTTAAAAAATAGGTAAAATACAGAGAAAAAAAATTTCGGTCAAGTTTTATTTTTTGAAATTAAATCTAAAAACCCATTATTTTTATCCCCTTAAAACGATTTTGAAGAAAAATAGAAAATAATTTTTTTCAAAAATTCAAGGATGTCCAATTAAAAATCGAATCTAATTTGTATAAGTTTTTAATTCTAGAAATTGAATAAAAAATTAGGTGGAATGATTGAACACCATAGCCATAACACTTTTTGATGGAAAATATCATGCAGATTTAGATTATTGAAACCTAAATACAAATGGCAATGGAAGCTAACCTGAAGGAGACGGTTGATGAAGGCCATCGTCATCGATATCGCATTTGTTTAGATCTTCGATCTATGAATTGGAGATAAGAATGGGAAACATTGATATTAACTCCGAATAAAATATTTCATAGATCGTGTAAACCAAAAACACCGAATTGGAGAGGAAAGCATTTACTTTGGAAGTCCAAAAGCACTGGATAAACTATTTCAATTCCTTTAGTTTTCTCACTTAGATTACGTGTAAGCCAACTGTGTAAAAATGATCCACATATACATGCCAAATGTCAAGCTCTGGTGCATTGAGTCTCCTTTATTATAATAAAGGATATATATATATATATTGGTGTTAAAATATTTTTTTGTTGAGTAATATATTTCTTAAAGTTTTCGGGCAAACGAAGGATGCGAGGGAGATCATATCAAGGAGAAGTTCTTTGCGGTGAAGAACAAGGATGCCTCCTACCGAACGCGAAATCAATTCACTTTCAAATGGAGTCACTTCAACCGAAAAATTTGAAAGTTTATCGAAGTTTACAAGAAATGCTCTTGGTCCCAGAAGAGCGGGATGAACGATACAAATATTCTGCGGAAAGCTACCGCCCGGTATCAAAACGACGGATACTAAAGCAAAGTCCCTGTCGATCTTTGGAGAATAATTGTAGTAATTTTTTAAATTATATCGAATGCTTTTTTTGAATAAAAATATTTTAAAACAACGAAGTATGATGCTCGATATGTTTTAGTATTTGTATGACATACTATCATTTCATTTAGAAGGGATATACTACGTAGTACATAAGTTTAGACATAAAATATATGGAACCATTCAAAAGTTCTTTAAAAAGTTTGTAAGGGTGCCTAGCATTTCTACCCCTACAAGAGGCTAGAAACAATTGGTGTGTAGTGGGGAGCACACTAAATTTACACTAAAGCAAAATTCATATACAAACAAACAAATTAGACTTTGGAATAGAAAAAGAAATATCCACTCTGCGATGCCCTTCCAATCCAATCTTTCTCCATAATATATAAACCCCACACGTATTCCACTGAGCCATCCTGCGCTGTCCGATCGTAATTGCAGCGAAGAAGGCGACGGCAATCCCCGCACGCTCGCTCAGTTTATTCTGTTTCCAGAAATGTCGCTTTTCCTCGCCGGAATTCCCCCTCTCCGGAACTTCTAATTAAGCCGCCGCCGAGGAGCGATGAGGTGCCAGAAGCACGCCTCGGATACCAGTAGCGGCGTCGGCGTCTGCGCCACTTGTCTCCGTGAGAAGCTATTCACTCTCGTCAACGCCCAGTCCCGCCATATTCTGCAAAACCAGCTTCAGGCTCCGGAGGATCGCCGGAGATCTGACGTCGATCGTCCGCCTCTGGTTTTCCCGCGATCCGTTTCGCCGTATGTATCTCACCGGAATTCGGATTCTTCCTCCTGCCGCCACCACCACCACCGCAGTTATGGCAGTGTTGCGGAGCAGAGATTCTATTTCACTCCGGAAATAGGTCCGAACGGGAAGATAGACGAGGAGAACGAGTATTATTGCGAGATGACGAAGAAGAAGAAGAAGACGACGAATTACAGGTTTTCGTTTTTTAACAATCTGTTTAGATCCAATCCCGATAAGCGGAATTCGGATGCTGGAGCATCCAATTCCGGCGATCCTTGCACCGATTCGTCGTCTTCGGCTTCGTGGCTATCCTCCATTCTCGGAGGTTGCCGGAAGAAGCAACACCGTGCTTTCTCGGTAGACGAATCGGCGACGGATGCGAAGCGGAGATCGTGCCGCAATTTCGACAGAGGACTATCTCCGGTGAGGTACTGTGAAGATTTCGTCCACGAACACTGCGGATCCAGCGGATACTCGTCGGAGTCTTCGCAGGGGTGGAAGCGAACGCCAAGGAGGACGCCGGCGCTCGCCCCTGGGCGGAGAGCCATGGTGCCGCGGAACATCTCTGGAATGACGTTCTGCCTGAGTCCGCTAGTTCGCGCTAGCCCTAACAGGCAATGGAACCAGAAGAGTATACCGCCGGAGATGACGTACGCCGGCGATATAAGAGCTCCGGCGAAGTCTCCGATGATGCTTTGCAAAAATGGGTCGAAAAAGATGGCGGATTTCGGAAGGGTGAATCGTAACCGCAGATATCGTAACAGCTGACATTTGATATTGTTAGTTACGTACTTTGCTATGATTTCGCCCATTTCTGTTTTATCATATCTCGCAAACGGGGATAAGTAAATCCATTTTCCACTACCCCACTTCCACCACAGGTCCACAGTAATCTTTTTCTTACTTTGATTTCTTTTGATCGTATATTCGTATGCTATTATCGCTGCTTTAATTACCTTTTTAATAACTAGTAAAAAATTAGACTAAATTCTTAAAGGGTACTTTATCAAAATTATCTAATTCCTAAAATGGTACTTGATAACTGAGTATAATGCTCAATTCAGTCCTCCGACTAACGTACGTTAAATGATGTCAAACCTTGAAATACTTTCTTAAAATGATACTCCCTCCTTCCTAAAATATTTGCAACGTTTGCTTTTTCAGCAGTTGTGAGAACTTTTGTTTATTTCTACGTTTTCACTGGTTATTTGATAAAATAAAATATTTTTGACACGTCTTATTTCGAAGAATTTTTTATGTAGTTTTTTTATATGTAAAATTTATTTTTTATTTCTATACCAATATGTAAATAAAATGAATTGAAAAAACTTGATATTTTGTCTCAGGAATACAAGTGTGGCAAATATTTAAGAACGGAAGGAGTACTTTTTAACTGTGCGTTTTCTCACATTGATCCATTTTTGAAATAAAAATACATTAATTATGAAAATATAGGATTATCAAAAAATGATATCAAAACAAAACATCACTTATGATCGAGCAAAGACTTTTGAAATGGAATAACATAGAAAACATAACACTTCGTACATAAACTGTAATGAATTAAAAGCAACTTAAGCCCATAAAATAGATCTTACAACGACCATACTTATATTGATCGTATACAGACTTAAGGAAGAATATTCTAAAGAAGAAAATTCATCATAGAGTGCGTTGTCAGCAAACGGTTTATAACTATACTTATTATTATCTCATCACATTAGGAACCAATGTTATGGGATGACTCGGGGGCACTCCGATCCGGTGCACCATTCGTACAATTGACAGTTTTTACCCCTCCGGTAAACCCCACACCCCGTCCCAACCCGAACATACCCTCTCACCCCTTCAATTACCTCTAAAAATTAAACTATTTATCACTGAACATTAAAAAGTGCACCGTTTACTCTCAAACTCTTTGAATATGGAACGATTTACCCCTGAACATTAAAATGTATATCAAAAATACTCCTAAACAATTTACAACGTTGCACCGTTGGTCCTAAAATGCTGGATAGGGAGTGCGTTACTCCCATGCATGTGAATTGTGAGTTGGATCCATCTGGCCATTTTGAATTCTCTAAAGTACCCTTTCCCAAAACTACCATCTTTATTTCAATATTTAGAGGTAAACTGTGAAATTTCTGAAGAGCTCAGGAGTATTTGATGCACTATTTAATTTTTAAGGGTAAACTATGTAATTTTTGAAAAATTCAGAGGTATTTAATGTATTTTTAATGTTCAGGGGTAAACCATTTAATTTTTAAAAAATTTAAAGGTAAACGATACAATTTTCTCATTTATTTACTCCGTAATATATAAGAATAAAGAAGAGCAACATTTGACAAGTGGTCGATGAAATTTCTAAGATGCGTATCACCTGTAAATACCTAGAAGCAGATCTCACAGAACCTCACAGGCAGTTACACACGTTTCAACCAATGACAGAGAATATGCTAAAACACTAAGTCAAACACACACAGAGAATAAAGCAGTAAACGACACAAATTTGTTAACGCAGTTCGGAGCAAATTCTCCTACGTCTGCGAGGCCCACGTCCGTGTAACAGCCCTCTACTAGATCATAGTAAAGTTTATACAGATCAACAACAATATGTCTGATAAGGTTTTGACTGAATAAGCTTACTATAGACCTCGAGTGATCAACTCTGTTGCACTCATCTCCCTGGCATGTTACACCCTCTCTAGGTATCTTCCAAGGACGTGTTGAACAGCCTTATATCCAGGTCAACTCAGTACTCAACTCCTGGAAGTTCTTGCTGATACATAACCATGAATCATATGCAGATTGTAGAGGAATCAGATGATCAATATCATGATATGTATCACACACGCTAGGATTATGAATTTTGCGTGAGCTGGCTGTATCCTCTCTCTCTTTTTCTCTCTATCTCTGCTTGAGGCCTCGATATGTGTTTTTATATGTATCCGCCAACCCTGACCTTCTGGGAATAGACCTCTCTTATGCGCTACAGTCCAAGATCCGTAAAACACGGTGGTTCAGCGAGTTTCTTCAAATTTCACAAAGTCGTGTAGTGCAGGAAGTTTGTCGCCGATCCATCTCTAGTAGAGTCCTCATCTTGTAGTCGTACAGTGTCCTTGTTAATCCAGGTTTGTAATGCGTACAAGATGGATGACCAATGCTATAACACCTACAAAGACACTGAACTACCCTAGTGCTTGTGTGTTGTCAAAAATACTGCCAACAATTTACAACATCTAACAAGAGATTACACAATGATATCCCTAACAGTCGAGTGGAGCTGTAGATAAATTTGCACACACCTAGTAGCAAATGGAAAAATAATTTTTAGACAGAGCACACACCTAATATATCAATATTGAATTTTTGGCCTTTGGGGGCGAGAGATTTGTATGCTCATTTGAGAATTACTCCGTACATAATTAAAGCTCATTACGGTATAATAACAAGTAATGGAATACTCATTTCAACTAAAATAATAAGATGATTGTAAAATTACGGAGTAAAATAAAACAAAATATGCATTGAACATCGTAGGTATCTTAAAATAACTGGTGTCATTTCTGTCGGTGTAAGATTACAAATTCCCATTAAATATTTATATTACACGGACTAATAGAGTTTTTTTAATTCTAAGAAAACATAAAAATAAAAAAAAGAAAAAAGAAGAAGAAATGGAAATTTCAATTGATGGGAACGGGGTAACCGAAGGGAAGATGGATGAGAGAGGAGATAGGGCCATTCCAAATATAATCCACTCATTGCCCAAATTTCTGTCGGGGGGTCCGTCTTGCCTTACCACAATATACTCGTTCGACACTCGATCGGATTGAAACCGGAAAAATCCGAAAACCGGAATTGAGGAAATGGTAAGACCGGAATTTGGACCTGAAAATTTTCACTTCAGACCGGTTTTTTAGTGGTTCTGTTTTAGGCTGGAAAACCCGAGATCTTATTTATTTATTTTTTTCTCAAATTGTTTTAACTTATTTTTCAACTACGTAGCTTGATTTGAGTTTATTTTAACATTACTTTTATTTTTTATCCATCGAGCTTGCTTTAAGAAATATATATATTAATTTAAAAATTTCCATCAACAATATGATAAGTTTAAACCGAAATCGAGTAAATGGTAAGACCGGAATTTGGACTTGAAAAATTTCAGTCTAGATCAGTTTTTTTGGAGTGGTCCGGTTTTCCGCCAGAATATTTTTTATTTGTTTTTTCCTCAAATTATTTTAACTTATTTTTTTACAACGTAGTTTGGTTTGAGTTTCAACACCACTTTTATTTTTTATATCCCTTGACGTGCTTCAAGAAAAAATTATATTAATCTAAAAAATTTTATCAACAACATGATAAGTTTAAAATGAATTTTATAGTTTTGTTCGTTTGTAAGATTTTTAAAAATATTATATAGTTGTATTTTATAGTATTTCGTTTTACCAAGAATAAATTATATGTCAAAACATCTAAAACTCAAAATCCAAAGTTTACACTTCAATTTTTTTTGAAATAATTCTAATTTTTTCTGGAGATTCTTGCTTGAATATCAATGGTTGTAATTATAAAAAGTAATGAAAATGAACAAAATAATGCATATGTAGCTTACTCCGTATTACATCTAAACGATTATATTAAAGTTAGAATAAAAAATGAAAATACAAAGTTGTACGTAGTATTATTAATCATACAAAGTATATCAAAGGTATTGTATTAAAACAAACAAAAAAAAGTACTCCATCCGTTCTCAAAAACACTTCCTCTTTCATTTTTTTCACTTCCAACAAAACACTTCCACTTTCTATTAAAAAACTACTTTTATCTTTACTTTTTCATACCCTACCTATCACATCATACTTTTTCTCTAATAATCTACCCATCACATCTCACTTTTACCTATCACATCAAGGGCAAAATTGGAAGTCAACTACAATTTAACACTTCCTTATTTTTCTACTTTTTCAAAGTAGGAACTCTTTTTGAGAACGGAAGAGTAGAATAATTACATTCTGATCTTACATGTCAAGCCTAGAAATTGTCTAGTCTTGGATCATAATATATGTATATCGCTCCTTAATCTTTAGACAGAGAATCCGTTCGGAATTCTACTCACCAAGCTTGAAACTAGTTTTTTGCGGTGTGACCCTAGCTAGTTTTGTACGCCCCTAACTCTCGGTATAATATCTATTCAAGCTAACATAATCTTAATTTTTTAGGCGCAAAGATATAACTATCCCACAAACTCAACAATTTCAAAACCCCCTAATAATATCGTCATCTCCTAAGGCCAACCGTACCCACCCCTCTATTCTCCTACCTTTTGTGCAATTGAGAACCCCCATACCCCCCCCCCCTCCCCTTCCTCACCCCACATCATGATGCATGTTTAATTTAGACCATTGAAGAATATTAGAGTTTAGGAGAGAGCTAAAATATGGGCAAGAATAATTAGTTTTACCAGTAGGTGTCTAGATCATTCTTAAGTTATTTTTTTAAAGTCAAAATAATATTTCCGTTGTGTATAATAAATACTCCCTCCGTCCCACTCTCTTTGTCCACTTACTTTTTGGCACACCATCCAATGCACTTTTTTAATCCATTTTATCTTGTAATTTGTATATTAAAAAATTATAGAAATTATATATTAATAATCTATATGTTAAGACAAATCAAACAAGATCACACATGACTATATTTAGGCTTACACATTGAGAGAATTTGATGAGTCAAAGTGCTTAGATGAACAGTTCCAAATGTCAAAAGTGGACAAAGAGAGTAGGACGGAGGTAGTATCATGTTTTTTATTTAATTAGAAGCCAATGATTGATTTAAGTTGATTATAAAAAATTAAAACTAGACAAATATTTTGAAAAAGAATAACATATTCTAGTTGGAAAGTAAAATATCACGGTTCAAAGAACAAATCAAGTGGATTTTTTTTTTTGGATGAAACAAGTGAACATGATTATAATTCATAATTACTACGGAGTAATAATTATCCATCATTATTCATAAAATTTTGCGTTTGTTTTACACTTTCACCACCGAAAAATAAACCAGTTATTGCCTTCATTATTCAGCTCTCCACTCAACTCAATTCTACCGAGTAGCTTTTATGATTAGGTATATATAATACTCTCTCTCCCCAAACATCTTTTTTTTAGGACTGAGAAAGTAATACGGAGTATAATTTAGAATATCACTTTTGACATTATTAATTTATCATATTATGGGGTGTGACATATTGACATTAGACTATTACTCACCTCATCCCATAATTGATTACAATATTTACTATTCCAAAATTATGATATTTTTTGTTTATTTGTATATTTTCATTGATTATTTTATAAAATAAAATACTATTGTCACCTTTTGTTTTGTAAATCTTAAATCTTTGGATGTAATTTTTAAATATTTAAGTTTAATATTTTACTTATGTCTCAGTCTTTAATAAAATAAATTGGAAAAAACTTAAACTTTGGAGTAATTTTCAAATTGGTACTCAATAACTACGTAGTTTCTCAAATTAGTCACCAAATTAATTAATTCCCAAGATGGTTCTCGTTAATTGAGAATAATGCTCAGTTCAGTCCTTCCGACTAACGGCCATAAAAACGGCCTTAAATCAAAGTTAAACCGTATAAAACTTTTCCAAAATGGTACTTTCTAATTGGTGTTTTCTAAAATTAGTCCATTTTCGAAATACAAACACATTAAGTATGAAAAATATATTAAATCTTATAGGATGACAATATAATACTAAAAAGTGTAAATATAATTTTACAAACTTGAAAGTAAACATTTTAGATGATTTAAAATTATTTAGAAGAATATCATGTATAAAACATTTATGGTTATTTCTTTCTCTTATTTATGATTATTTTAACATTTATTAAATTTTATTTTATTTACATGATATTCTTTTAAATAAATGCAAATAATCTAAAATATTTATTTTCAAATTTATAAAATTATATTTATAGTTTTTAATATTATATTACCATCCTATAAAATTTAAAATATTTTTTCTCATAATAAATATATTTTTATTTCAAAAGTAGACCAATTTGAGAAAAAACACAATTACAGAGTATCATTTTGACAAAATAATATATAGTTTAACGTTGCTTTAACGCCATTAGTCGGAGGACTGAACACATAGTTATTGAGTATCATTTTGAAAATTTACTCTAAAAATTTTCTTCGGTTTTCAAATTTATAATTAAAATAGAGGCGGAAAGAGTACTATGTTTCATCAACTGGTAGTGATTCTTACATCNAATGTGAAGGATGAAGAGGATAAACTGAGGAATTAGGAAGAATAAGTAGCATACTAGGTATCCCAAATGAACCAATATCATAATACTCTCTCCTTCCCAAAAAATATCATACTTTGTTATTCAAAAATCACAAAAACTTTTACTCTATATTTATTTCTACATTTTTATTAATTATTTGATAAAATAAAATATTTTTCTTGCCTCTTGTTTTGTAAAAGTTCTAACATGAATAACTAGTAAATTCATATCCAAAAAAAAAAACCTACACCGTAATAAACTCATGTAAAGGGCATTCTCTGCACCTAACATTTTAAAATTCTCTCTTGAAAATCAGCTTAGTTTCCATGACATTGGAACTAATGTCATTGATGACTCAGGGGGGCCTACTACTACATCCAAAAACCCGACACCCGACGGTTCAAAAAATTGGCGGTTTGTAAAAGTGAGGTTACCATAACGTACCATAAAAAACATAATGCTTGGCATACGCAAATGACTATTTTCGAATAAGCATTTCATGTGTGTGTGCACACACACATAAGTTTGAGAAAAAAACCCTTCCAACCCGTAGTTTTCAAGGGCACATTGGTGAAAGAACTCTCACACGTGCAAAGTTCAAATCTGTGACAAGAACCGCATGAACAATAAAGAAACACATGACCAGAAGTTCAATATGATCGAGGCCGAGGAACAACGTTGCAAAACTAAACACAAGAATATACCTAAACGGCTCAGGACTAGAAAATTGATACATATAAGAGCTGAGAAATGCACACCATTTCTGATAATGGAACTATGACAAAAGACAATAATACCCTGCATCTTTTAACACCTCCACAGCCAAAAAAAATAAGTGTCAAACATGGCCACACCTGAAATGCTGCTATGGAAGAAGATCTCTACAGACCCTGAGAAGATCAGAAGGAGAAATGGGAATAGTACGAAAGAGATCAACAGGCACACCCTCCGGACTGCTGTTGAGACTGCCCTGAATTTGAGTTGGTAGAGTTGAGATTAACGTCAACCATGCCTTCTGATTTTGCAGTCGATAAGGTCTCCATTCCTGGCAATGCTGCTGCTATTTTTCTGAACAGTGCCTGAAAAAACAAAGATTCTGTAATTTTTGACATTTCTAAGTGACAATCTTATGCTAATACTTCACCTATCGCCTGTGATATGGGAGTGACATGTAATAACGTCCCCAAAAAAACTTTTTTTTTTACTAAAAATAATGCATCTAGAATTGCTCAAAATGAGATAGCACATTTTTTCTCAATTGTGGAAAATATTCTAAAAACAAACGCATGGGGATGGTATTACTGCTCACCTTTATATTGAATCCAGCTTTTGCACTGGTTTCAATAAACATGACGTTCAATTCCTTAGCTTTAGCTTCTCCTTCCTCTATCGAGACTATTCTGTTCTTGCAACGAAAACCAACATGATACTCCGTATTAAACAAATGATACAACAAAATAAACAAGAGCCAAAACAGAACCCCACTTGGCTGCCAAATGTGTTGCAAAGAAAAATGCACAGGCAGGCAAGCTTGTACTGCCTTTTTTTACTAGATTTGTATCAAACATTGTTCTGAATAATTTTCTATCAACATGTTCCATGCAACAAATAACTGTCTTCTCCTAAATACAAAAATATACAGCGTATATAAATGTGTGGGGCCTTTTTTCATTCCTTCTTTCTTTTTCATTCACCTTTTTCAATTTTTTCATTTCTTCTTGACTCTTTTTTTGTTGGTGTTCCTCCTCCATAAATCCTTCAAAACTCGTTGTCTCTTTTTTTTCCTCTTTTTTCATTGGTTGTTCCGTTTTTCTCTTTATATTGAGGGATGATTCTTGTTTTTTTCCCTTTTTGGTAACAGTCTAAGTGTTTTTAAAAATTATAAAATATAATATAAATTTCATTTTATATACAGAGTAAATTTTATTAAAATAAGAATATATAAGATAAAAGTAAAAGATTAATGAAATAATTTATGATTAGATAAATAATATAGAGTTGAAAAATTAAATAAAAAATGTGTTGATAAAATTAATATTTTTGGAAGAAAACATTCCTAGCCCACATATAAGGAAATACCGAGTAGAAAAAAAGGGGGGAGAATTGATTAGAGTAGAGCGAGAAAAATGAAAGGGGAAAATTATGTGGCATCAAAAAGTGATTACATGGAGGGGAATAGTAGGGGAATGATTGGGGTCTAAGGATGCCCTTAGATCATTTTTATCCATTCTCCCTACTTCCCCCCATCTCTCTGTTATTTTTAAAGCCACATCAATTTCCTTCTTCACTTTCCTCACACCATTTAAATACTGCTAATGCATAATTTCTGCACATGTGACAGTTTCATAGAAAGATTTTGTTCAAATGTTTTACATTCTTCAGCATGCCAGATTTCATGAAAGAAAAGGATGCATAATTAAATTACGTGTATTTAACAATTTATCTCAAGAAAACAAAAATATAGTAATCGTATAGGTACCTTTTATCCACAAGGTCAGTTTTATTCCCGACAAGGACAATTATAACATCACTCCCACGCTCAGTCCTAACCTCTTGAATCCAATTTACTGTGTTAAGGAATGACTGCCGACCTGATTATACAGAGACATGTTACTATTCACCAAATAAATTAGGTTTATAGACTGCTTTTTCTCTTTTGAGAGGTGCTAACAGTCCATGTCATATGCATGAACTTGTTTTCTGTTCATATACACTTTCTAAATGAAAGAAGTTCTAGCTTGGTATGTCAGGAAAACAAGTTTTCCCCAATGTCTGGAGAGATTATTCACATCACCTTGGCATTTTTCTGTTTCTGTGTAAAATGTAATACAAATGAAATGTAATTGGACAAAATTGTCATCTAAATAAGTAAATATTTAGCATAAGCAGAGAAGTTTGTAAGTTGTATACTAATTAGTGTGTGAACTATGCCATCTGTGTGCATTAGAGAAGCTTCTGCAGAGGTGCTAGGTTTCTCAAGGCCGGAAATGGTGATATGTTGATTGAGGTTGCAATGTATTAGGCGGAGTTGGCACACATACTTCCGTAAGCTCTTGAACAAGGGACAAGGGTTACGTGCCGAAGGAATTCACACTTTCCGAAAGCAGTAGACATTTTAGATATTGTAGGCATATAAAGACTGAATCTTGAGGGCTATTTGTAACATGAAGAGAGGGATAGCACCAGGCCAGATGAGATACCTGAATTTTTTTTAAAGGATGTAGGCCAGGAGGAAATATGGGCAGTTGACTATTTGGTTTAATGCCATTTTTTGCACAGGTACAAGCAACGGTCGTGTTGCATATGAACAACCCAAGTATCAAGCTGTGAAGTCACACTAGAAAAATTTGAGAGAGAGTAGTTGCAAAAAGGATGAGGTGTTGATCGCTGAGAACTAATTCAGTTTACGCCATGTTAGCCGACTACATAGGCTATTCATCTTGTTAGGTAATTTTTAAAACAGTCTAGGGACAAGAAAAAGATTTGCACAAGAAGTTCATTGTCTTTGAGAAAGCATATGATAAAGTCTCATGAGAGGTCCTTCCGAGATGTTTGAGACAAGAGATCTGCATGTGACATATACAGGGAAATTAAGGACATGTATGAGGGTGTGCCAAGTGGTAAGTTAGGAAAACAGGGTGCGGGTGATTCAAAACACTTTCATGTCTTGATGGGGTTGCAATAAGGATCATCCCTTGATCCTTTTTTATTTGCTTAGTGATGAAGAAGTTGGCGCAACATACTCAGGAGGACGGGTCATGGTGTATACCACTACCTTGTTGGGTTATTCGGTGAAGGCTTTAGAGCTGTGGGCTTTAAGCCTGGTCGGCTAAAGGGAAGAAACATGGGGGGCCGGTTTTAGTTATTAATTAAAGGGCCCATTAGTTGTTTCTTGTTTAGCAAGTTGTTAACCCTAGTTTATATCTTATAAATACCCAATCATGTAACTATAATCTGTGAGCACCTAATAAAAGATAAACCCTAGCTGCAACCCGTGGAGTAGTTTACTGACCGAACCACGTTAAATCTCGTGTTCTTATTTTCTGCTATTTGTGTGTGTGTGT